TCAAGAACCCCATAGTCATTCTCCTCCTCCTCCTCCTCCTCCTCCTCCTCCTCCTCCTCCTCCTCCTCCACAAACCCTACCTTCTACTAACACTGATGATGAAACATTTGCAAGAAAACCAAGCTCAGTTATCACCAAGAACCCCATAGTCATTCTCTTCTTTCTCCCCCACTCCCCCTCTCCACAAACCCTACCTTCTACTAGCAGTGATGATGTTACCTAGTTGGTCATAAAACATCTGCAGTAAAACAACCAAATTCAGAGAGCACCAGGGACCCCACAATTCAGCCCCAAGCTACAAATATTTTCTTCTATCAGTCCGTCTTTATTTGGAAAGATACTGGTCTAGAATAGAGTTCTTCTAACTAATAACCAACTGATTTGGTGTCATTACTGTTGTATTTCCCTTCTCTTGAAACCAGCGTAACTTTTGAGTGTTTGGAGGACTTTTGGTTGGGGGGGAAGCTGTTTTAGGAAGTGCTGATAGCTGTTTGTGTTAACTAAAACAGTTAAAATAAGAAAAATGAAGTCAACCAAACTCTAACTGAAACACAAATATCTGTGTTTATACGGCGTGAATTTAAGAACTGTTCTGCATGAGATGACTAAGTGTTCATTACAAAGAATAATAGACTTAATTTTGTCTACCTTTTTTTCCCCCACCCCTCAAGAGGAACTTCGGCAAGCTATTGTAGCTATGATGAACAGAAAGCATGAACTAGAAGAACAGACCAGGTAAAACAAATGATGCTTTGGGTCAGTTCTATGGAAAGCGCGCGCACGTCATTATATGTGGACAGAGGTTGACTTGAAGTTCGATTGGAGGTTGAGCAATCCTTTACACTGATAAACAAGGAGAACAGCCGATCTGAGGCCCAGTAGTTCTACCCTTCCCAGGTCTTCAAGACCCAAAAGACAACCCAGTGAAATCCGGTTAAGTTCAATCCTTTATTTGCTTATCCCTAATAGACAGAATCTTGCCACACTTTAGTTATAACCTTCCAATCTAATACGGTAGATATACTCCGAGAGATTCTCGGGTGTGGCTACCCTAAACCCCTTCCTACCTTCCCCATTCAGTTCAGGACTGTGTCGTCTTTTGTCATGGGGCCCCCTCTAGAATATCCTGAGAAACCATTGTGCTCTTCCCCAGCCTGCAATTGTTCCCCAGAAGTTCCACACCTGGCATTGGTTCCATCTTGATTCCACGGGGAAGTAGCTCGGGGCATGCGCAGTTGTGTTGAAGCAGAGCGCTTGCTGAGTGCAAGAGATCTCTAAATAGATGTTTGTACATGCTCTGAGACCAACTGCATGCTTGCTATTTGTGTACTCATGCTATGATTCTGCTTCCTCTAGGGCAGGGGTGTCAAACTCGATTTCATTGAGGGCCATATCAGGGTTGCATTTGACCACGGGGGGAGGGGGTGGGGCATGGCCAGGGTGGGCGTGGCCAGCTTGCCGTCACTCATGTCGGAGCCTGTGGTGGTCCGAGTGCTCTGCCAGCGAAAATGGAGCTCAGGAGGGCCACCTGCTGGCAAGAGAGCTGCAGGAGGAAACGGAGCTTGGGAGGGTCGAACTTCTACTTCCTTGGTGAAAAATCACCAAGAATGCGCCAACGGGGAGTCCTTTTCCTTTAGGTTCCCTCTGAAAAAGTTTGGTCTGGATGTCAGATTTCAGACAATCCGCCTCACCCTGTGCTCTTCCCTGCAGTTCCTTGCGGAGCCTCTTGGAGGGCGAGATGGAACATTCGGCGGGACTCCGTCAAGAGGTGGACAACCTGAAGAAGAAAGTTTCAGAGCACGAAGAGCATTATACAGTGAGGATCCAGGCCTTGGCAAGGTAGCGGAGTGAGCTAGGAGGGGGTTTTACTTTGGGTTTCTGCAAAACACCAGTAGCACTTTGCAGCCCTCGCTGAGCGGTTTACAGAGTCCGCCTCTTGTCCCCAACAATCTGGGTCATCGTTTTACCCACCTCAAAAGGATGGAAGGGTGAGTCAACCTTGAACCAGTCAGGATCAAACTCCTGGCTGTGGGCAGAGTTAGCCTGCAACACTGGATTGTAACAACTGCATCACTATGGCTGGCTGGCTGGCTTCCTTCCTTCCTTCCTTCCTTCCTTCCTTCCTTCCTTCCTTCCTTCCGAGCCAGCCTTTTGCTCCCCAACAATCTGGCTCCTCATTTGACCCACCTCGAAAGGATGGAATGCTGAGTCAACCTTGAGCCTGTTAAGATTCGAACTGCAAAATTGCAGTCAGCCAGCAGTCAGCAGAAGTAGCCTGCAGTACCGCATTCTAGCCAGCGCGCCAATGTGGCTGATGATTCCAGTCTGTTATTCTGACCGATTGCTGAATCCTGGGGAGAGCGGGAAGAAGAATAAATTGTGCTACAGGTAGTGCTTCAACTTACAACCATTCGTTTAGTAACCATTCAAAGTTGGTTAACAACCATTCAAAGTCACAATGGATTCCCCCAACAGCTGGTTGCAACCCAATTTCAAAGGTGTGACGGCCACATCCTCAGGTCATCCGATGGCATTTTGAGTGCTTGGCGACCCACTCGCCTTTATGGCTGTTTTCAGCGTCCCACATCACATGATTACAATTTTCAACTCCCTTTTCTTTCCGCCCCAGTTTCCGGCGTTTACTTCCGATTTTCAGAAAAAAAAAAAGCCCATTGGTAAATTGGATTCACTTAATGATCACTGCAAAAAAAAAAAAAAGCTAAAATATTGCATCTGGTCATGTGATGCCTTGACTTATGACCACAATGATTTATACCCATATATCTGGGTTCAATTGCAGTCATAACTCGAGGACTTGCAGTATAATTAAAGACCCCAACTTATAAAACACCACTAAATTTTTACCATTGCTATATGGAGTTCCCAAATGATAATCAAGGAACCAATTTATAACCCTTGCCCCATCTAGCTATTTTTTTAAGGCTAAAGTGTTTTCAGTAAGCAAAGTGCTTTGATTCTTGGCATGGAGTGATTATTTTTGTCCCGATGCTCCCTCACCAACTAACTCCCAATGCTGTTTTCTGCCTCTCTGCTCCTAGGAGATCAGAACAATCGGCTGCTTAAAATGCCTTCAGGAGCTTCATTAAAATTTCATTGTTATGTAATGTATATTCCTTTGCCAGAGAGGCCGTTGCAAAGTTGTTGAAAAAGGCCTGATGTAAAATCAGTTGGCATTGGGTGGTAGCTCTCTGCCTTGGCAACTTGATTGATTGATTTTATTGATTGATTTGATTTGTCAATCACTTACAAGATAAAAGGTATAAGTATAAACATGAGCAAGAATACAGGAAATAGGTACGAATAAATGGAGACAAGAGGACAGGGACGGTAGGCATGATTGTGCCCTTACAGACCTCTTAGGAATGGGGTGAGGTCAATAGTGGTTAGTTTGAGGTTAAAGGAGTGGGAGGGTTTGAGGATGTAACAACAGAGTCAGGCAGTGCATTCCAGGCATTGACCACTCGGTTGCTGAAGTCGTACTTTCTGCAATCAAGTTTGGAGCGGTTTGCCTTGAGTTTGTATCTGTTGTGTGCTCTTGTATTGTTGCAGTTGAAGCTGAGGTGGTCATTGACTGGTAGGACATTTTAGCAGATAATTTTATGTACTACGCTGAAGTCCAACTGGATGCGGCGTAGTTCAGGATTGTCCAAGCCCAAAATTTCAAGCCTGGTGATACAGGGTATTCTGTTGCGAGCAGAGCAGTGTAGGACTCTTCTCATGAAATACTTAAAGAAAACCTGGATTAACAGAAGGATAGAATCGAGATCCTAAGAAGAGTTAGTGTCACTTTATCATGCCTTGATAAGACCAACCTTGGAATATTGCATCTGGTTTTATATCCCTATTATATATATGTAAAAAAACGTTGAGCCTCTGGAAAGAGTGCAGAGAAGAGCAAGGAAGATGATTAGGGGACTGGAGGCTAAAACATACGAAGAACGATTACAGGAACTGGGTATGCCTAATTTGATGAAAAGAAGGACGAGGGGTGACATGATAGCAGTGTTCCAATATCTCAGGGGCTGCCCCAAAGAAAAAGGAAGTCAAGCTATTCTCCAAAGCACCTGAAAGCAGAACAACAAGTCGTGGGTGGAAACTCATCAAGGATAGAACCAACCTAGAACTAAGGAAAATTTTCATGACATTTCCTGGCAATTGGTCAGTGGAATGACTTGCCTTCAGAAGTTGTGGGTTCTCCATCACGGGAGGTTTTTACGAAGGGACTGGACAGCTGTCTGGAACGATACAGGGTTTCCTGCTTCAGCAGGGGGTTGGACTAGAAGACCTCCAAGGTCCCTTCCAACTCTGTTATTCTGCTGTTCCATCCATTTCCCTCCCTGTATTCGTAGGAGTCTCCGAACCAGGCTGTTTCCTAACATCCCTTTCATACAGCCTTCCTTCTCTCCCAAGGTGGAGAGATTCCTTCAACATTTTTTAACTGACCAACATTTGTAAAAGCACAATCTCAGCCCCACCGACGAAGGCTGCTGATTCTGCTCACCGTTAGCAGAAGCCGAAGCGGTTTATTTCTTGGATGTCCTTAATTGCTGCTGCTGGGAACCCTGGCGGAATTCAATATTTCAAAACCTGCCGTGCTCTGCTTGGCACGGAGCCATTCGGCGGGCAGGCTCTCGCCCAGCAGGATCCAATTTCGAGACCCCCAAGATTAGAAAAAACCTGAAGCTGCAACCTCCAGAGTCCCTCAGAGAGGAAAGGGACAATTCCGTTGGCAATTTGCGAAGGAAAACTCTTTTATCCTAAAAATGACCTTATAGAGCATTGCACCTCAGAACAACTAGAGACAAGGACAGTTTTTCCCCCATGCCATCACTCTGCTAAACAACTAATTCCCTCAACACTGTCAAACTACTAAGACTGTATTACCATGATTCTTCTCATCCTTCCTATTACCTCCTTTTCCACGTACGACTATAACCTTGTTGCTTTTTTTTAATCACGTTTTTTATTTATATTCTGCATATACACATCAATGCATAAACAGTGTGGCACCTAAGCATCATACATTTTGATGCAAACAAAAATAAGAACATTAATCATATCTCTTACGTTCATCAAATTTATATAATTCTAATATTAATACACATATTTGAATTAAAGTATAATCCTTCACTATTTAATTATTCAATATTCCAGTACATTCTTCTAATGCCAATTTCCATATTGTTTAAACATACATGATAATTTCATTATTCCATTTCTTTTGTTTTTATATTTTTTTAAAAAAACTAACATCTCTTTTGGAAAGCAGAGTGGTTCCAGGTTTTGACATTTCAATGCAAACATGGCCATAGTTACATATTCATCTTTCTTGTTCAATTACACATCACATTATTACTTATTCTGTTTTCTTGTAAATATTCTCAAATATTAAATTCATTAAACTTATTTTATCCAATTTCACTTCATATCTTAACTTATTTTATTTTTCTTAAAATATTCTTATATCTTACTTTACAATATTATTGAAAATTCTTATTTCATTTCTATATTCATTACACACCTTACTTTTATTTATCATATTTGCAATTTTATCACATAGTGTTATTCCATTTATTCAATAAATTCATCTCTGTTCTGATAGTTCAAAACATTGTCCCCTTTGGTTGTCAAACCCTGTTGCTTGTATCTTTACAATTTGTATTGTTTTAGTTTCCTAGTATGATTTTGATTGCTTATTTAGTATCCTATCACTAGGTGTTGTGTCTCTATGATTTATGATTTATGATGAATGTATAATGACAACGATCATGATTCATCACTTACAGCTTTTATGCACACAGAGAGCTCATGCACCGAAGACAAATTCCTTGTGTGTCCAATCATACTTGGCCAATAAAAGAATTCTATTCTATTTTATTCAACGCGGTCACCCCCCATCAGTCGTGTTTAAACGACAAAAGCAAGAAATGTTTTTTCTTAGTTTTGGATTTAGTTTTATTCCGGCCCCTTTCATTGCGTTGCTCTGATCTACGTCACTCCGCAAGGGCAATGATGGAAATATGTCAAAGGATCCAGGACAGGATGCTTGGTGGTTGACATAACGACCCCCTGAATTCTATCAGTGGCAACCAAACCTTTGACTACATTACGAACTCGAGTTTAGCAACTCTGGAGCTGTGGAAGGATGGGGAGGGAGGCCTAGCAATTAGAGATACCCTCCTTGTTTGATGCAAAGGGTCCCATGGTTTTGTAAGTATGCACCTCTGATTAAACCTTGGGGACCTCAACTTATGACCACAGATGAGCCCAGAATTTCTGTTGCTAAGCAAGACATTTGTTAAGTTATTTTTTTCCCACTCGGTTTTGCATCCTTTCTGGGCGCCCTTGTTAAGCGAATCGCTGCAGTTGTTTAAGTGAGTTGTTAAGTGAGTCTAACGGTTGTTAAGCAAATCCGGCTTCCCCATTGACTTTGACAGGGCAAACCGTCATAAATAGGAGCCAGTTGCCGAGCATATGAATTTTGATTACATGACCCCAGGGGTGCTGCAACAGTTGTAAGTGTGTCCTGTTCTTGACCTTGCAGGGAGAATGAGGTGCTCAAAGTCCAGCTAAAGAAATACGTCGGGGCTGTCCAGATGTTGAAAAGAGAAGGTCAAACCATGGACGGTGAGTGGGACTCTCCCTTCCTAGGAACAGAATCTCTTTCATTGGCTTCCAACAAGCCAAGCCAATGGAGGGAGCAGGATTGGCTCAACCACTGGGTGATACAATTAATGACCGCAACACAAAGGTCATAAAATCAGGTGCGCTTCACTTAAACACTGCAAAATTCTGGTCAATTGTGGTTGCTATTGAAGGACTGCCTATATACAATTTTGTTTGGAGAGACTAAGTGGGGTGAGGGTTGATTCTCCTCCTCCTTCCTTCTTCCTCCTATCATTTTTGTGATGACCCAGGACGTGGCACAAAGGCAACACAAGTCAAATAAACAATAAGAGTCCCTTTATTATCTCCAACTTTGCCCCAAATGTCCAGGTTACCTTTGGCTGGAGAAAAACTGGCCTAGGAACAGCCTTTAACTGTAGAAAATTCAGTCCAAAACAAGATACATACAAACTGTAACTAAAAATCCAAACAAACCAAGCAAAAGTAATTAGTTTGATGGGGCAGGAGAAGGAATTCCAGACTTGAAAGCATGGCAAAACTCACACAGTTGGGAAGATGCCAGGAACATAGATAAGCCACGACGATACAAGATAAATTCACGTTTGCTCCCAACAACTTGGCTGTGCGCAGCTTCCTCTTTTATATACTGTGTTCCCAACTGCGGCTAATGAAAGGAATCAGGGCCCTTTCCTTCCCCGTAAGCCATGCAACCAACTTTGCTCCCTTCTCTGTTCCTCCCTGTGTGCCCTAGGATGAAGAGGGGGTGGGCTTGGGTCTTCCTCCGAATTCCCTCTGCCTTGCTCTACCTCTCCCCTGCTCTGACCAGCTGGCCTTTGCCCTTCCCCAGTTTCTTCCACAGCCAACGGAGCCACACTCCCTGTCAGCTGCTTGGCCTCCCCCTCCAAGTCAGATTCCGACAGGCGCATGACAATTTTAGCCATTGTCTATCCACTGCAGGGTGAAGGCCTCTTCCGCATGTTTCCAATCAAGCCATAATAGCTTTACTGTGAACTAGCAATCACTGTGGGTCTTGCTGTCTCTTCTTGGAACTCAACTTCTGTTCCAAAATTGCTTTTTTTTTTTTCAAGAGGCAACTGGACTTTCTCATTTTTCCTTTGAAGGCGTTTCGCTTCTCCTCCAAGAAGCTTCTTCAGCTCTGACTGGATGGTGAGGGATGGAAGGACATCCAGTCAGAGCTGAAGAAGCTTCTTGGAGGAGAAGCGAAACATCTTCAAAGAAAAACCAGAACGTCCAGTTGCCTCTTGAAAAAAGCATCTTAGGGACCACCATGACTTGGATGTTGGAGAATCTCCATAGACATTTCCAACCAAAAAAGTCCTGAATTTTGTTTTGCCAGTTGGGGCCTGCCATACTTAGTGACGTGGTGACAAATAGCTGCCTTGTTCCTTCTTGAAAACGTCCAGTGATGGAGCATCTACATCCCATAATGAACCTTATCTATTGCTGAATAAGGAGAAGCCTTTTGTGATTTCAGGGGTTGTAAATATTAGAAACAATGGTGAATACAAATTCAGCAAATATGCAGGATCATCCCACCCCCCCTCATTCCAAACATTTAATTATCCCTGTACCCCAATAAAATGACTTTTTTTCCCCTCCTCCTCCAAGTTTATTTTCATTTAGAAACAAATTAAAGTGGTACTGAGCGCAGTGTTGAATAACTAGGTGACTGAAAGAAGTATGCTTGTTTAAAAAGTAATATAAAATTAGTTTAATAACTCATTTTCTCATTGGAAGAAATTTAATCTTTTGACAAGCAGTTGAAAAAAATCCTTTTATTCCTTTTCCAGTGCTTAAGCTATAGAAACAATTTTCTATTGGCATTCACAGCTGGAGTCTTCTAGTCAGACAGTTTGCTGAGCTCCTGCAGGAATTAAAAGGCTTAATTTCTGTTTGGGAAACAGTGAAAATCAATATAGACCCGCATTGCTTCTTAAAAGTATTACTGTGTCATTTTTTCCAGCAAGGATTAACTAAATATGTATACTAAGCCTGTCGGTGTCTTTGTTTTTCCAAATGTACTTACAAAACGAAATTTTCCCTGTCCCCCAACTCTCTGTTACGGGAAAAATCCTCTTTTGAAAGTTTTTATTGGATGTTTGCAAACTGGAAAGCAGAGGTTCGCAGGGGGTTCTGCAAAAGTTGGTTCTGGTTTAATATTAGATAACAGGCTCCGGGTTTTCTTAGGCCAATCCATGCTTTGAGGCACATCTGAACTTTTAATGGCTTTGCTAGGTTTATACCGACCTTTCCATCAAAGAAGGCTGCTCAAAGAAGCTAACAATCACAAAGAGCCAAATTAATTAAAACATGGTTAAAACTTCTATTAAAAAATATAGCACTCCGTCAGTTCAAAGCCCAAATTGGCAGCTGCAGATATCCTCTTAAAATAGACTGCCTCAAACCACGCTGGAGAATACATAGCAAGAGCCCATAGGCTTATATACCACTTCACAGTGTTTTTACAGTCCTCTCTAAGAGGATTACAGAGTCAGCTTATTGGCCCCAACAATCTGGCTCCTCATTTTATCAACCTCGGAAGGACGGAAGGCTGAGTCAACTTTGAGCCAGTCAGGATCGAACTGCTGGCAGTCGGCCGTCAGCAGAATTAGCCTGCAGTACTGCATTCTAACCACTGCGCCGTCTTGGCTCACCACCACGAGATGGTAGACAGATGATAGATATAGACAGACAGACTGATAGATGAGAGAGAGAGATGATAGACAAATGATAGATGGATGGATGGATGGATGGATGGATGGATGGATGGATGGACAGACTGAGTATAAAGCACATTGGGACAACCGTGAACTGGATGACTGAGAATTACCATAAACATTATACTTAACCATGGATTCCTCAACAAATGGAATCACGAATGTTGGTTTGAGTGATATCTGAACAGCTGCCACTTGGAAAATCTGAGAAGACGGTATACATGCTCAGGATATAATCAAACATATTAATTTCCAGTCTTTTCCAATTTCTGAACTTTTTTTTTTTTAAGATGACCTGGGAAGATGTAAAATCCCATGAGGGTTTACCTTCTTATGTTTACCTTCTATTGGAATGAATGGGCTGTGTGCTTGCTTTCTCTGTAATGGGATTTAAGCATGACTCCATTTCTCTAAATTTAGGACAGTCAGATGTGATATTGGAGCTCCTTTCAGCCTGGTTGCTGTTACTTGAGGTCAGTGATTTTCGACGAAATATGGAAATAAATCCCCAGCAAAGTTGGGATTTTTATGTGATTTTTTTCCCCCTCTCCTCCGGCAACCATCTAAAAATTGAAAGAGAAGAGATTAAAAGCAGATTGTTCAACACTTAAATTGCATTTTTTAAAACTTCCACCTTTTGGGGGCAAGTTAAGTGCCATCATTATTAACCGCGGACCTCCTTTTTTCTAATTTAAAACACATGGCTGGTTTCTAGGAGCACACATTTCTGAAGTTGAATTGTAATGTTTGCTAGTGGTACAAAGGTGAACAAAAATATGCTAAATTCTCTGGCAACCTTTCCACGACCCAGTAATAATTTATAGACCACAATTTTGGGGAACTGAAGTAATTTTTATTCCCTTGGGTCTGCGTGAATTTGATTAAGTTCTCCACGAGGGCCATGAGACAGGTGTTCAACCATTTCATTACGCTGGCTTGTATTAAACAAAATTATTCACGAAGAGGATATTTTTAAGCTGCCTATAATATGAGAAATTATCCTTCATTAGACACTGGCTGTTTTTTTTTTTCTGATTCGTATAATTACGGCAGGGGAAAACCTTGGCTGCTGCATTCTGCTATGTTAGAATTATATGTCAACAAAGGCACAATAACCAGAGAAATTGAGTGGGATGGTCAGATTTTATAGAAGGAAGAAAAAAAAAAGAGAGAGAGAGAGGAGGTGGCGACAGAATGATTGCAAAACCTTTCTAAAAATGAGTGGCTTTGCACCATGATTTTTAGTTGCCTTTCCCCAGCTGTGGACTAAATTTCCACTGCAGATACTAAAAATAAACTTGAGAACGGCATGTGTTTTATATTGCATAGGATTCAAAAATACCATTCCTTTTTTTAAAAAAATGTTTAGGGCAGGTTTTTGTTAGGGATGGCTGCCTTACGACACATCTGGATGCAGGGTATTCAATTGAAGGGGTGCGATCAGATGGGCTACTGCTATTAGAATAGAATAGAATAGAATAGAATTCTTTATTGACCAAGTGTGATTGGACACAGAAGGAATTTGTCTTGGTGCAAATGCTCTCAGTGTACATAAAAGAAAAGATACGTTCATCAAGTCAAGAATCATCAGGTACAACACTTAATAATGATCAAAGGTTACAATAAGCAATCAAATCATACTAGGAAATAGTCAATATAAATCATAAGGATACAGCGACAAAGTTAAAGTCATACATACAGTCACAAGTGGGAGGGGATGGGTGATAAGGAGTGATGAGAAGATTAATAGTAATAGTAATGCAGACTTTGTAAATGGTTGGACAGTGTTGAGGGAATTATTTGTTGAGAAGAGTGATGGCGTTTGGGAAAAAACGGTCCTTGTGTCTAGTTGTTCTGGTGTGCAGTGCCTTATAGCGTCATTTTGAGGGTAGGAATTGAAACAGTTGATGTCCGGGATGTGAGGGGTCTGTAAATATTTTCACAGTCCTCTTTTTGACGTTTAACAAGGTTTTGCAGTTTTGTGTCAGTATATTAATTAGCCCACTCAAAAAAAGCAAAAAGAAAAAAAAAACACCCCCAGGAGAAAGCCTGAAGATATAGTGGAATGTATGGGGCAGAGTGTGATAGCTCAGGGAGCTAAGAGGCAAATCAGCCTGGAATCTTTCATATGGAGGAAAAGGTGGACGCTCCCTAACTTTTCCGATGTAAGGGCCAAGCTGGGAGGGCGGACTTAAATCTGTTATCAGTTTAGACTCCTTGCATTGCCACAAAAGAGTTTGGAAAGATTAATGTCAGATACAA